TTTCCTGATAATCAATTCCATAGGTCTGGGTGAACCCTTTTACTACTAGTCTTGTCTTGTACCTCTCTATGCTATCATCAGTTTTACATTTCACAGCAAAGACCCACTTATAGCCTACTGTTCTTTTCTCTTTAGGTAAATCAACTATCTCTCAAGTACCACTTTTTCTAAGAGAATTCATTTCTTCCATCACTACTAACTTCCAATTCGGATCATCAAGAGCTTTCTGAATGTTTCTTGGGACAAAAAAGTGTGATATTTTTTAGGTAAAAACCGTATGAGTATGAGAGAGTTTTTCATAAGATCGGTATTTAACAATGGGATATTTTGGATTTGTATATTTGATTTGAATACCTTTCCTAATAACTATTGGAATATCAAGGTCTGATGGTTCTTGGTTAGGAGAAGCAACAGGAACTGAAGAAGAGTTAGGAATAGAATTACCTATAATATCTAGAGGTCCAGTTCCTGGAGGTTAAGATTGATCATTTCCAAAAGGAATAGGCTGACTTTGACTCTTTTGATGAGATATTCTCCTAGTATAAACCAGAGGCTCAGTATAGGGAACTTTTATGCCTGGTTGTACTGATTTTTTCCCTGTTTCAGATACAGTAATGTTTGGCACTATATGACTAGGATTCCCTTCATTATTTTTATTGGTTTTATCACATTGTTCCTTACTTTGAATTTTAGGAGTAAAAGTAGGATGATGTGAAGTAGTCAAAATTACATTTGGTAAAGGCAAGGAGATAAATCCCAAAAATTTTCTTCTATCACCTCATTCTCTCCCTAAAGAGAATATTTGTGAAAGTATGATTTATTTTCAAAGAAAAAGACATCCATACTCACATAAAATTTTCTCTCTTTAGGGATTATAGCACATATATCCCTTTTAATTATAAGCATACCTTATGAAAACACATTTTTCAGCTCAAGGATCAAGTTTGGATCGAGTATTATTGGGTATATGAATAAAAGCTATGCAACCAAAAACCTTATAGGTAAATCCGAGTATATCCTTAATAATGGAAAAATTCTTTTGAAACATTCTAGTGGCATGTTATATTTTAAAACACGTGTAGGCATTCTGTTAATCAAATAAAGCTGTTAAAACAGCTTCACCCCAAAGATATTTTGGAATATTCATTGAAAACATTATATATAACGACCAGAACCGGAGGTCCGGATCGCTAACCGGGTCTTTAAGCAAACCCGATGACACACTAGGAGTAAAATGGTCATTTTACAATGTGAGAGGTTTATCCATCATTAATTAGTCAAATGAAGTTTAAAACAATCATATTAGTCATTCCATGAGGTTTGAAAAGGTTCTACGGTCATCGGTTATGAATTCCCAAAAATGCCCTTACTCGGTTCAAGGGGAATTCCGACACTGTTCCACGAAAATAATCATAACTCTCAACATGAATGAAATTTGAAGACGATGTTGGTCTCATTGGAAAGCTAACTCAAAATCCTTGAAAATGGACTCAATAATGACCCTATTTGGGTTCAGAACGAAGAAGTTATGACCGCCCGAAGTTAGATGATCAAAGCTAGCAAACTGACAAGGCAAAAGTGGGTACTGGAGGTCTTGAACTGGTTTAAGAATCCTGAATCGGTTCAAGATGGGCAGTATGCCCATATGTGAACCAAATGCACCCCTTGAACAGTTCAATGGGACTGAACCGGTTCAAAATGGCTAGAACTTTAAAATTAGCCCAGAAAGCTTTAAAATGTACACTTGTGCCTATAGGCACCCCTTTGGTCCCTTAGTGACCTTACCTATAGTCCAAACCTGTCCAAAATCATGCAATTAACATTGTAAAAACATAATTAACCCCGTACCTTCAATTAAACCGAATATAAGTCCAATATATTGTTTGAAGACCGAATTAAAAAATTAAATACAAAGAATGAGGCCTCCATGGCCAAAATTACATAGCTTTAATATAAATAAACTGAAATCCTAATTACATCAATATCCATGGATGCATATCATTCACCGGCTCATCTCTGAATTCCTGAAAAATGTTAATGTTAATAGGGTGAGCTCAACAGCTTAGTAGAAAAAGCCTAAAGTACACTCCTAAAATTCCCGTGAGCCACAACCAAAGAAAAAAGAGATCAAGGAAAAGGGATTATGGGAATATAAGCCATATTATCATACATGAATTTCATAAATTCATAAACCATTCCATCACACATTACAATGTAAATGCCCCCTTCTCCGTTTCCAACCCAACCTCACCAAAACCTTCATAACCTTCACCCTAACTTACAACACAAATCATCACCTCACTTCCTAACCTTCTCTCCCACATCAAACCTTCATCCTCTCAACTCACCCCATGCCAGGAATATGTATGTCATGCAACCATTCATCAATATACAAGTCATAATTTACATCATAGTTATATTAAAACATCCAAACATAAAAAATTGATCACTCTTATTTTCACATTTTCTCATAGAAAAATAGCATGATTGACACAAATACAAGAAAAACCACCATAGTCTCAACCCACAACAATTAAATCAATACTATCTCGTGCTTAACATCACAACCAAAATTGACAAACTAAGCATGCTTCACAACATCAAATTATTCAAGTAAGAAAACACATAGAAACTCACTAAAATTATAGGACTTGTAATTTAAACTTTCCTTACCTCAACATAGCAAACCAAACAAGGCCTTAGCAAGCCCTAGCTTTTAAATTCTCCAAACCCTAGCAATATGGGTGCCAAGTGGAAGACCTCTCCAAGCTCTCCAACTTTTCCTTTCTTGGTCACCTCCAAAATCTCACTCTAACCCCTTCAAATCAAGATTTACAACAATGGAGACATGTGTATATAGATATATAGATATATAGAGAAAGGAGGAAGAAAACTAAAGAGAGAGAAAGGGTTTTCGGCCAAATGAAGAGGAAGAGAAATTGGTTGATTTTTTTGCAATTCATTCTATAGCTTTAAGTGCGCTACTTGTCAAAATTTGGTTGATTTATAATTTTGTGCAAAGTTACAATCTTGCCCTCCTTCAAACCATACATTGCCTCATTTGCCCCATAAATATCTACCTCTAATATATAGATATAGATGTATAAATTATGGGAGAAAAGTCCATTATGCCCCTTTCTTAAAATGACAAAACCGGGAGAAGTTTTCGAGTCCGGAAATCGTCCCGACTTCCAAAAATTTTAAAAATAATACCTTCAGCTCAAATAACCAAAACGCCCCTCTGGGCCCGCGTGGCATGCAAAACGAGGTAAGGATTAAAATAACCCAAAAAAATCAAATAAATTACAGAAATAGTAAATAGGGAAAATCTGTAACATTACATTATAGAAGGAGTCACTTCAAGTAAATGTTTATTTTTTCTTTCAGCAATTTCGTTTTGTTGAGGGGTATCCACACAAGGTGACTAAAGATGGATACCCTGTTCTTTAAAAAAACTCCCCAAAATTTTATTTAAATACTCGGTTCCATTATCAGTGTGAAAAATGCTAATTTTTTCTTGAAACTGAGTTTCAACCATTGTGTAAAACCTCAAACTTTTCATTCATCAAATAAACCCAACATAAACGGGTATGATCATTTATAAAAGTAACAAACCATTTTTTCCTAGAGATAGTACTGACTCTTGAAGGTCCCCAAACATCACTATGTATTAAATAAAATGGTTTTGAAGAAGTATAAGGTTTTGGCAAAAAAGTAGTACGATGACTCTTAGATAAGCAACAACTTTCACAATAGAATGATGAACAATCCAAACCTTTAAATAAAGTAGGAAACAAATGTTTAAGATATGGAAAGCTAGGATGTCTTAGTCTTAAATGCCAAAATATTATTTGTGCATAAACAGAGTTAGAACTAACATTACAAAGGCCCTGAGCCATTTTATTACTGGAGAAGTCCCCATCAAAGTAGCAAAGTCCATCTATTATCTTAGCACTGCCAATCTTCTTACCTGAGCTCCGGTCCTGAAATTTACAGTAAGAATCACAGAAAATTACATAATAATTAGATTCTTTGGTTAGTTTACTCACAGATAAAAGGTTACAGGCTAGTTTAGGGACATGGAGAACAGATTTAAGATCTATATTCTCGGATAATTTTATCAAACCTTTTTCCTATAATAGGTGAGAAACTTCCATTTGCAATTCTAATTTTTTTTAAAGGCCAGAACATGGTGAGTAAGTGCTAAAAAGATTGGAAAGGCTGGTCATATGATCAGAGGCTCCAGAATCGATGATCCATGGAGTAGAATTTAAATAACAAGAAAGGGCATTAAGTGCACTACCTGTTTGTGCAAGAGAAACACTAGGAATACTAGATGAGGAATTAAATTTCAGCAACTTCAGAAGGTGATCCATCTGCTCCTTGCTTAAGGGACTTGTCTTAGCTTCATTAGCAGTAGGAACCGCACGCCTATTTCTGTCACCAGGCTTGCTACTTTTCCAATTCGCTAGTTTTTTGTGGATTTTTCAACAGTTCTCCTGAGTATGTCATGGTTTGTTATAGAAGTCACACCAGACTCGTGGCTTCTTTTCAAGTTTTTGTTGAAAATTGACTGTTTTATTAGCAGCAGTCTTGGCAATAATAAGGGCAGAACTCTCAATAGGTCCACTTGTAGTCTTTTTCCCCAACATTACATGTATGTGGCTTTCTTCTCTTCAAACCTCATCAAACACCTCACCAATTGGAGGAAGTGGAGTCCTGCCAATGATCCGTCCCCGTACTTCATCAAATTCTACGTTGAGCCCAGCAAGGAATTTGTAAATGCGATGAGCCTCCACGGTCCGTTTGTAGTGATTGGCATCTTCATTGGATTTCCATTCATAATCATTGAATAGATCCATATCCTGCCAAAGGCGTTTCAATGAATTGAAATACTTAGTGATCGAGTCTTCTCGTTGCCGAATCTCACCAAGTTTTAGAGTCAATTCGCAGATTTGAGACTGATTTCCCAAATCAGAGTACATCTGATTCACGTTGTCTCAGAGCTCCTTAGCCGTGGAGTGGCACATATAGCTGGAGCTAATATCCTCGTCCATGGAGTTCACAAGCCAAGTCATCACCATTGAATTTTTTGCATCCCAGGTTACGTACATTGGGTCCTCCGATACTGGTGCCTTCTTGTCTCCCGTCAGGTACCCAATCTTTCCCCGCCCTCTGATGTACATCTGAACGGACTGGGACCACCGTAAATAATTGTCACCATTAAAGCGAATATTGGTGATCTGAACTGAGTGAGAATCGGCATTGGGGGCTTGGGTTGCAGGATTTGTTGGTTGGGTTGTGATAGGCGAGGTTGACATGGAAAAACGTTAGATATGGCTCATCAACGAATAAATTGTGCAGAAAAGAAATATGGAATAAATCTTTTCTCTATATTAGTACACAATTCACAAGTTTACACCGATTCTTTTATAAAAGAGAATACACACACAAAATTAGAAAACTGATTACAATAACTAGTTAGCCTAATTAATAATTTTCTAATTTACAACATTTGACAAATATTCAATTTACAGCAAATATCCTCCAAATATTATAATATTTAGAGCTAATAATATTTGGTAGTATTACTACCGAATCTTTCATTTTCAACATTTTTCAACTTCAATCTGGTGGGATCAATTCATAAAATAAATACATATCCAGCCAACATAATCTACTAAATGAACTCGAATCTTCACGATTCAATCGTGTATACAGTATCTGGACTTTCTGGCAACAAAGATCGAGAGTGCTCAATCTTAATTTGGTGGTGATGGGAGTTGGTATTGCTAGTCATCTTGGGCATTGCAATTCTGACTTTTCTTGCAGGGCCTCTGGTATATGCTGTCTATAACTTATCGGTTGCAGTTCGCATACCTATTTTCTTCATATCTTTTGTAGTAATTCCTCTGGCCTTGAATGCTAGAGTGGCAGCATCAGCCATCTTTCCTGCAAGTCAAAAGAATTCAAAATTTTCTTCCTTGACATTTTCAGAGGTTTGTCTCTCAATTAGCTTTTCCTTCTTTATCTTCTTCATTATGTATGGGATTGGAATTGAATTCTTTGGGCCAAACTAGTACACATTTTTTTCTTTGTATAAGTTTCTCCAGGGCTGGTCCTGAGATTCCAAATATTTTGAGAGGCCCTAGGCAAACTTTTAAATGTGAGGCCCTTAAGTTTCACACAGGCAAAAAAAATTATAAAAGTACGGAATTTTCACACGATGCTTTCAAATTGTATAGCTACTTTAATTGTGCGCATGTGCATTGTGCATAAGACAACTAACTAATAACTATAATCGTCATTCGTTAAGCCTTCATGTTCATTGACTAACTTCCTATGATCTTCATTCATTAAATCTTCATATTTATTGAGATTTTCTTTATTTGCTTTCACATTCATATGTTCTTCATTCACCAAATCTTTAACTAAACTCTCTATTTGTGTATTGCTTCTAAAAAACTAAAGATTATCTCCTTTTTGAGATTGAATCAATTCTTCTTCTTCTTCTTCTTATTTATTTATTTATTTTCATGCCCAGATTCAAATTTTCTTGTAGACATAATGAAATCTCTTAAAATCTAAATAATAGGAACCATAATCAACATAAAACTAGACTGCAAAATAATAATAATAATAATAATAATAATTTGCTTTGTTTAAAGAAAAAATATATTACCTCAATATGCAATGATTTGATTCAAGTTGAAGGCAAATAACATCACGAGATCCTAAGAAGAGTGTCCTGCTAGCATAAAAGAAGATCACAATTAACATAAAACGGATGGAGAATCAAACAGAAATAATAATAACTAAGCATTGCCGATCATACAATAACTATAATAAAAATAAAAATTAAAAAAAAATCTAAAATCAAGCAACTTGGTCGAATGATCTCCTGGCTGGAGTTTTCACTGGAATCTGGAGGAGAGGAGAGAAGACAAAACAGAGTATCCAAAATACGGTCCAAAAGTGGAAACGGGGAATAGAAAACTGTAACGTCTTTTTTACATTCATTGTTTATCTTTTTTACTATATATATAGGAGGCTGAACTTGTAGTGCTGAAGAAGTAGTGGGACTTTTAGGTTATATGTGGCAATAGTTTTGTCTTTCACTCTTTATATTAACTACACTTTGTGTGTGTTTTTTTTGAGAGCCAATTAGCCCTTTCTTGATTTCAGGATGAGGAATCAACTTTAGTAGCAGTGATTGATTAATCATTGCTACAGAAGACCTGTGCAAATTAATAGAAAAAACCATTAACTTTTGTTTTGTTAAAGCCTACTCTTGATTTCCATGTGTTTGTACATTCTGATGGCTAGTGCTTTGACAGTATTATTAACTGAAATTCTAGCTGAGCCAACTTCAAATAACATCAATAATGGTGGTATGGCAAATTTTTTAAGTGCGTTTCCAGAGGCGATATCAGAATTAGGTTTTCAACCTTAGGGGGTTCGGCTTCACCATGGAGGAGGGCCAACCCTCCTCCCCTCCTTCACCGGCAAGGTCTGTCTGCCGGAATTCACCACCCATTCGACCTAAGTATAATAGTTTTTTTGATGAGACATAAGCCACTTTCAAAAATCTCAATTATCACCAAGAATGCAGAGGTGTAAAAGTGTCCATTACAGATGATGATGTTGCTAAAGAAGTTGCGTTTTGGAAATCGTCTGTGGTTGGATATGTAATGGGCAAGAAACCCTACTACCCTTATTCAAATCTTTTGTGGCCAAATATTGGGCTAAAGATTTCACGTTAGTATACCTTAAAGATGGTTTTTTCATTGTGCGCTTCAAAATTGAAGAGGATGTACAGAAGGTGTTGTCTAGAATACACACTTTTGAGGGAAGACCAATTATTATGAAGAAATGGAATAAGAATGTTAATCTACAGAAAGAGATTCTTGAAACCGTTCCCGTATGGTTGTGTATACATGACTTACCGGTCCATTGCCGAAATGAAACATCTATCTCTAAGGTTTGTTCATCTTTTGCGAAACCTATATACATGGATGATCCAGAGACACATAGGGATAAGGGACAGTTTGTGAGAGTTATAGTGGAAGTGGATGTTAAAGAAGAGTTGCCGGATTCCACGATTGTTGATATTCATGGTATTGATTGTCATATTGAACTGGATTACGAATGGAAACCGACGGTGTGTAAACCGTGTAAGAGAGTTGACCATCTTGAAGAGAGATGTCCCCAAAAGGTTATTCAGATTACCACCAAACCAAAGAAACCCACATAACGATGGGTGGTTAAACAGAAAGGCAAAATGGTTACAATTACAGATGCTGAGAAGGTGCTTGATATTATGCTACAGAGAAGCATACCAGTTGCTCCTGTAGTTTCTACTTCAAATACTTTTGAGTTATTGGACTCTAATGATTCTATAGATGAGGAAAATACACTTGAGGAGGAGAATGTTGTCTTGGAAGTTAAAGAACTTGATGTCACAAATCAACAAAATAAAACAGTAGAAATAGATGGTTTGGGAGTTCTTACGGCTTCAAATACTATGGAGGATTGCACTGAGATGGTTTTGGGAGAGTCCAGGGATACACATTCAGTTGAGGCTATAGTTGACGAGGTTCCAAACAATGAAGAATTAGTTGATTTAACAATTGACAATACTGTTAACAGAGAGAAAAATGTGTGTATTTCAGATCCTCAAATTGAGGAAGAGGATTTAGTTTTGAAGAGGGATTTCAAGGATACATCTGAGAGCCTAGAGCAAGAGGGGGACATTCAGGCAGTGGAGGTCCAACAAGGTAGCAGATCATCCAAGCAGAGGAAGAAACCCTATGTGTCTCATTCAGACAGAATAACTAGGGGAATGCAAATTGGCAGTGGGTCACTGCCTAGCTCTCAATAGTGCTAGGAGCATGGAATGTGAGAGGTCTTAATAGACCTCCCATGCAAAAGGAAGTAAAATAGTGGATTTTAGATCATAAATTTGTTTTTACTGTCCTTGTGGAAACTAGAGTTAAGGAGGGTAAGGCATCCAAAATTCAGAAAAAAATATGCCCTCAATGGAGTTGGTTGGCTAACTATAAGTCTAGCTATTTGGGAAAAATTTGGTTTGGTTAGAATAGAACTTTATTTGATGTGGTTTTGATTCAAGAAGATGCTCAAGCCATGCTAGTGCAAGACACATATATTGATTCTGTTAGAAGCATCTATATTACTGGGGTTTATGCTGCTAATAGAGTTAAAGATAGAAGAGATTTGTGGAAATCTCTTAAGGTTAGTGCTGAAAAAATTTCAGGACCTTGGATTGTTTTGGGAGACTGGAACATTATTAGATATAGCCATGAAAAGAAAGGGGGTCTATAAGTCCCTCAATGTAGACTTGATGAATTTAATAGCTTGATTTATGACATTAGAATGGAAGATCTCCCTACAAATAAGGGTGAGTGGTCTTGGAGCAACGAACAGAATTTATATTCAAGGATCAATGCTAAGTTGGACAGAGTACTTGTGAATTCCATTTGGTTACAACAGTTCAATAATTCTAAGGTGTCTCTTACACCTGTTTTTTTGTCAGACCACTATGGCCTGGCAATTCAATGGTATTTTGACTGCTCGAATGGTCCAAAACCTTTTAAATTCTTTAAGATTTGGTGTTTACAAGAGGAAGTTGAGAAGGTTGTTAGCAAAACATGGGAGATTGCAATTACTGGCAGCCCATTACATGTTCTTCAGAAGAAATTACGAGCTGTGAAGGTTGCTGTGAAGGAATGGAATAAGGACAGGGGTACAATTTCAGAACACATTCAAACTATTAGAGATGAGTTCAATTCAGTTCAAATGGAGATGTTACAAGGGACAAAAACGCTAGACAATATAGCTAGAGAAAGAATTCTTTTTGGTAAGTTGCAAAATGCTCTTGATCTTGAAGAAATATACTGGGCTCAAAGTCCAGGATTAAATGGCTTCAAGAAGGAGATAAATGCACTGCTTTCTTCCACAATGTGGTTAGGCAAAGGAAATGCTCAAATTCCATTACTCAACTGCAAAACTCTACTGGTGACATCTCTTCAGACCCTAATACTATTAAAGATTGGTTGGTTAAGTTTTATGATGAATTGTATAAGAAACAAGGAGAAGTAGTTGTTGAGTTGAGGGCACCTAGAAAGGTGTTAAGTGAAAACGATTGTCAGAGTTTGGATTATGGTATTTCACCAGAGGAAATAAAAAGGGTTGTGATGTAATTCCACCCTGATAAAGCACCAGGTCCAGATGGATTTCCAGTCAGGTTTTATCAACAATTTTGGAGGTTTATTGGACAAGATGTTATAAATGCTATCAGTCA